CCTCTACACACAATCCAACGGCCAGGGTGAATGTCATGAATATTCTTTGTGCTCACATTATCGTGTTGTATTAACCACGCTTTTGCCTTCATTTTCAGCTTATGTACGTCTATTCTTAGACAAGTAAAGCGCTATTCATTCTACGCTATTCATTCGTGTTCTCGCGCTCAATCAGAACCGATACTCTATTCGTAACAGGTGGGTAGGTTGTAGGTAGGCTAAGCGCTGCTGAGGCCCGATTGGGTGGTCGTCTTGGCTTGGACACGAAGAGCACGGACAACGAAGACCAGTTACTTCAGACGTGTGCCAATCATAGACTGTTCCTTTGCAGTACGAATTTTCGGAGCAGCAGAAATCGCTCGACAACGTGGTGCCTACCAACAAACCAGCGCTGAATCCAAATAGACCGCATCGCCGTCAGTTATCGGTGGCGAGGGTCGATCACCGCCCGCAGCTCCTTCTGGAACACTACCGTGGACTCCGACCATGCACTTGTACGCTGCTGCTTTTCATTGCGCTTTTCGGGTGTACGCAAAACGCGCACACCTCGCTTAGTCATTGAGAAGCTAGTGTACCAAGAAGTCAAACGAAAATATCAAAACCAGCTCCTCGAATGCCTGCCGGACGGTACGGTGTCGGATATAAACGGCCACTGGGAAAAAATCCAAAGCGTCTACTTGCGGTACAACCCAGCCAGCCTCATCCAAGCATTGGATCTCCGATAGGACAGTGTCTTTGCTGGAGACCCGGCGACAGATTCCACCTGGTCGCCACCACAACTCCACCCGGCGCATCATCCGACGCCAGGTGAAACTGAGTGTCCGCGCAGACCGAGAAGCTTGGTGGACCCGAAAAGTCGAAGAAATGGAAGATGCAAAGAATGCTGGAAACAAGCGCAAGCTGTTCCACTTGATCTGTCCGGCTAGTCCCCGGAAATCTCTTGTCAGCGGAATAATCAGGTACTAAAATTGCTCCCTGGTATGCGGCAAAGCAGAACGTTTGGACCGCTGGGCACAGTACTTCGAGCAGCAATTTATCTGGCCAATCGATAAATCTGGCCTTCAACAAAAAGGTGGACCGTAAATATGGAGCGGCCTTCAGTCCCAAAAGAGCCCGAACGTATTTCTCGACCCAATCGTCATCGTGCTGCTGGTCCTGACGACCTTCCACCTGCACTTTTCAAGAATGGCGGTGGACTCCACAGCCAGTGCCCATCTAGCCTATTCGGGTCTATCTGGGAGAACGAGACCGTCCCAGACAACTGAGGTGAGTTGATAGTGGTGCCCATTTTCAAAAAGGGCACTAGCAGTGAATGTAGCAACCACAGAGGTATTAGCTTGATGCCTGTTGTGACAAGGCTCCTGGCACCACTGATTCCTCGTCGTCTTACGGTGGCACGCGAAGCCTTGACTCGCGAGAATCAAGCAGGATTTTGACCCAATAGAGGCTGCGTTGATCATATGTTCGCACTCCGTCAGGTTTTAAAGCAACGCCACGTGCACAGACGACCGACAATCCTCGTATTCCTTGACTTCAGGGGTGTGTTTGATTCCGTTGATCGATCAGAGTATGCCCCAGAAGTTTGTAAGCGTAATCCGATCCCTATATTCACATACCTCCGGGCGGGTGAGAGTGAATGGTGGGCTCTCCAAAAGCTTCCTTACGAAAGGCAAGGATGTCCTCTCTCTCCATTTTTGTTCAACTTCGTCATTGATGGAGTAATGAGACGAACATTGAGCGATCTTCAAAACTCCGGTGTTCGAATTGTTGCTGGTAAGAGCCTTATCGATTTGGAGTAAGAAGGTGACATCGCCCTCATCTTTGAAGACCAAAGTGAAGCACAAACCCTGTAGAATAAACTGACAACCATCATACCATCTTTAAGCATGCGCCTTCCACCTTCAAAGTGCAAAGTCATGCTTCGGAACGTGACATGACATCTGCTATCTCTTACAATCCAAAGAGAATAACTGGAGATTGTGGAAAACTTTACATATCTTGGCAGTTGTATTGGCTCTGATGAAATCATGTCTGATGAAGTCAGTGCAAGAATCTCAAGGGCTCGAATCACGTTCGCTAATTTGTGCCACTTGTGGCGCCAAAAATTCATCCCACTAGATCTTGAGGGTCATGTGCTACGCATGCCGAAACACCGTCTACCGGGATGAGTGTTGTTCCCCGCACCTCCTCCAAAGTGGTACAAACCGCGTGGTGGGCAGCGAATGGCTTGGCAGAATGGTGTGAAAGAGATCACGAAGAGTTTGGGTGGGTGTGGTTTTGTACGCCTTCCAGGATAGGGTCCCCGTGACCCCGTCTGTGCTTGGCTGAAGACGTTGCAAGACATGACGGGTAGTCGATGTCACTGGCGTTCGTGCCGTTAGTCTTTTTTCAGATTGTCTGATTGAGCGTTTGGAGGTGTAGCCACCTCAGGATGCTTGACAAAGGCCAGCACTAGGTCCCCCCCAACCACTCATTCTTCTCTTTTGACTCTAGGGCTTCTGATATATATATATATATGTATATATGTATATGTATATATATAGGAACCTTATGGTTGTACAGCATTGAAGCATTAGTGCCAACGCTGATGTTGCTGTCTTCATGATGATGATGATGACGATGGTGATTCCAGATCGACATGGTTTTCGTCACAGGCTATTAGACCACCGAGGTATTGAAGACATCCCAGGGTTCGTTTCATTGTCTTATCGAACACAAAATGAGAGAATGCGGAGTGTGCACCCTAGCGGAGACCGCTTTGTAAACGGAAGCATTTGGAGAGCTCTTTGTACACTATCACACGTCAGGAAGTCAGAGAACACAAAGAAATTACGATGGTTACTACACCCGCTACGAGCCCGTCTTTTGAAAATGGGCACTATCACCGACTCTCCTTAGTTGTCCGGGACAGATTCCTTCTCTCAAACGCAGGAAAACGGATCAGACAAGCGCTGACCGAAGACTTCACCCCCATCTTTGACCAAAGCGTTTGGGTGGTCATCCGGGCCAGAAGCTCGGTGGAACTTAAGAGAAAATATGCAACCTGTAGCTAAAGTCGTACTGTCCTTTACAATAACGTGTGAAGGCAGTAAGGCGCTCCCTCCCGGTGACCAGCACGTCCATATTTAAGGAAACAGCGATGTTGCCTCTCCCCGAGTAAGAACAGGTTAGAAAAGGTCGGCCCTAAAAACCACACTCAGATCTCCCAAAGGTTGACCGTGACCACCGGCGCATTATTCGATTCGGTCGAATTACTTTTACAACCAAAAAGCCCGCTGCTGTATGCGGCCGTATCAGGAGTGAGACAGTAATGCTCTACTCTCTGAGACCTCAGGCCAGGTCGGCCCTATAGAGCCAAGTACGTCAGACTATTGAGTCATTCACTCCGAGAAGGGTCCCAAAAAAGCCCTAACAACCTGTCTCTCGGTCAATACTCTTGAGTCAGAGGCTTGAGCCAGGGTACACCAACTAAACCCTACCACCCCATCAGTTCCCTGTCGGTCAGAGTTTTGAGTCACAGGCTCAAGATGGGGTACCTCAACTCAACCCCTGTCTTCGCCCTGGGCAGCCGGGAAGTATCATTTGCCCTTGCAGATCTTCCCTCACCGGCCTTCTCCCGAACTCCCTCCCCACCCATTGAACAACGCAGTGCAATCGACCCATCCGCAAATCCCCCAGTCACTGTTCCGTCCCACGACCGTTGCCCAGAAAAATTAACCCAAACAGTCATTTACTAACCTCAAAAGATCTGACCCATGTTGCGGCCCTTAATGTCCCTACTCTATGTCAAATTGAGCAACAGGCATCCTCTACTTCTCTATCGATGTATGTTGTGTCTCCAAAACACTCATGGAAAACCCCAATTTGGTCGTCCGCCTCAGGCCACTTAGGACGCGCCCAGATGTTCCACATTCCACTCTTCGGGCATCCGGTGATTCTGGCTCAATGGCTCGTTGTATCTACAGTGTGGGGGTTGCACAAAGCTCCAAGGCTGAAAGCGCCTTACTAAACTGGATCCCAGTAAACAGTCACCTTTGGGCTGTACGGTTGTCTGGCTTAATTAAGATCAAAGTAGGTCGACGTGGCAAACAATGTTTATTTGAGGTATCAGCACACGTTCCAACAGAATGCAGTACTGAAACTAAGAAGGACGGGCATTTTCAAGATCTCTCGCGACAGCTCCGGTCAGCGAGAACGGATATAGTAACACTGACGGGTGATATGAATGCCCAAGTTGGACGACTAAGTCCGGAAGAAGCGCAGTTAGATGGTACATTTGAAACTGATGCTCAGCGTACGGTTGATGGGAAGCGACCGCTTCAGTTGTGTGCAGACCGTAGTTTGCTCCAGGTCGGTACGAACTTCCAACCTAAACACACATCCAGTATCTTGGAGGCCATCTACCATAAGACAATCTTGGACTCAGTTGGACCATGTTACAATCAGTTACCGATAGAGAGCCCAAGTTAAGGAAGGTCGTTCCTTCTGGGGTGCGCAACCCAATTCTGATCACGACATCGTGCGGTTGTGTCTCCCGCTAGCACTACACGCGCCGAAAGGGAGCAGCTCCATTCATCAACTTCGACAAGTTCCAGTAGCTGAAGGGAATTGAGTTGATCTGGCTAGAAAGCTATTGGAAACGCATTCATGTTGATGACGAAGATTGCTTGAAATTTGAAGGGAGGCGGGTTGAAAAAAGCGGAGAGCTCGGCTTTGAGAAATATGTATCCAGCTCATCTGACTCTAATGCTGTGTATCCTCGAGATCAGCAGATCTACTTGATATCAGAAAGAAAGGCCACACCAGCAAAGAGCTACTGTGACGGTGCACGCAGATCCTCCCAACACTGGGACAATGAAAATAATGTTATAATAATCGTTCAGCTGTAACACCCTCCCGATGCCTAGCTGCCATGCCACCCGGAGGAAGCACGAGGGCTGGGATACTGCCAGGTCGCCCAGACATAGACAGGGGAAGTCGAGTGGCAGGGGTGGGATTCGAACCACGGACCTTCCGGTCCGTAAATTCGCGCTCTAACCACCTGGGCCATCTCGCCCCTGAAACAATGATAGAGAACGCTGGTGGATTTCGAAGGCCAACGATATAGAGAAGGCTTTCGCAGCAGGCAACAGCCGCGCCTTGTTTCGAGCAAACAGTCAAAAGAAGCCAGGTGTCAGTGAAGCATGTTAAAAAGTCGGAACAGCAATTCAATCTCTCGATCGTCGTCTTGAGCGGTGGGCTGAGCATTTCCAAAAACAGTTAACCTGGCCTTCTTCAACACAACCACCGGAAGAACCAAGAGGGCCCGAGTGGAACAGTGACACCAACCCACCATCAGCAACCGAAAGCCACCGTGAGTTCAATCCTGAAACGCGACAAGGCACCTGGTGCGGATGGTCTACACCCCGCGCTCTTCAAAGGTGACGAGGTCCTGATGAACTGTCTGACAACCATATTGCAGAAGATTCGGAACGAAAACAAAATACCAGCCGAATGGAGCTCTTCGACCATCATCCCAGTCTTCAAAAAAGGTGCGAGAACATCACATGAAATCCATCGTCA